GAGTAGTAGTAGTAGTAGCAGTAGTAGTAGTAGGAGCAGCAGCAGCAGCAATAGTAGTTTAGTAGTTGTATAGTAGTAGTAGTAGTAGTAGTACTAGTACTAGTAGTAGTAGTAGTAGTAGTAGTAGTAGTAGGAGTAGGAGTACAAGGAGCAGTAGCAGTAGTAGTAGTATAGTAGTAGTATAGTATTGGGAGTAGTAGTAGTAGTAGTAGTAGTCGTCGTAGCCGTAGTGGTAGTAGTAGTTGTTGTTGCTGCTGCTCTACGAGCAGCAGTAGCAGTAACAACAGCAGAAGCAGTAGTTGCAGCAGCAGTAGTATTAGTGGCAGATCTACCAACCCCCTGACTACTGGCACCTAGACTATAGAACTGAAAGAAAGCGAAGACATGTAACTAGACATGTAAACGCTGACAGCATCTTCATCACACACCGACGCAAGCGGTTTTGTGAGTGCAACTGCCAAAATCGCATCTCATCATCTCAGGGCAGTTGGACACACCACGTTCTTCCTCATCTTCGTGCATCTGCACTTTTGAACATCTACCTGGACGGTCCGGGTATTTCCTGAACTACCTGGGTCGTTCACTTACCCTGGAACAATGCATCAATGGGTGCAATTACCTGCAATTACCTTTCAGGGTCCCTTTGTAGGGTCCATAATGCCATATCAAGAACTATTTTGGGTATATATATAATATATATCCCTACCAGTAGCAGTAGCAGTAGATGGTTAGTAAGGGCCTTTCTCAAACATTGTGATAATTAATCGTACACGGACTGTTACTGGTAATGGGCTACACCCAACAAGTCATAATAACTGATTACTTTTCGGTGATCTTCAAGCAAACTACGAGCAGGTCTGAGCAATACATAAATTGCCGGCTCCCTCCTCAATGGCCACGTCAGTGTCGGGTGATGCTGAGATTGATAGGCAAGCAGCGATTCCCAAAGAACGCAACCACGCGCAAAACGGTCCAAAGCTGCAGCTCTTCGAGGGGGGGGAAACAACTCCAGGTCTTTGAGGTGTTGATCCGAAGCCAATCCTGGGTGCCGTCGGCCGCACACGAAGCGTCTCGGCCCATGGCTGACCTGGCCGCTGAAATCGGCTGTTGGGTAGGCGGGTGAGGCAAAGTGTCAGGTGAGTGGCTCGTGCACCTGACCTGATTCTTTCTTGGCTTTGCATGAAAACGCGCACAGGCCTGCACCTCACCCAAATGAAAGAAACATGGAACTCAAGCTGGCACAGTGCCGGTGCTCTTGCATGTGGATGTCTTGAGCTCTGACGTGCAAATTCCCAAGTCATGAGCATCCAAAACATCCTATGCTTGCTGGATGGCAACCTTGGGATGCGAGGCTTTTCTCGAATATTAAAGATATGGCAAGATCACATGCTATGCATAGTTATCCCAAGATCACATCCAGTATAGACCTTGGAAATCCTTGGGATGCGAGAGTAGATGGCACAAACCCCAGAATGTCCTTTAGAAGGGGGCCCATATAAACCACCTCTTGGGGTCTGTGCCATCTACTCTCAATCCACTATATACGTGGAAGGATCTCGAAGGTTTGTAATCTTCCCCCGTCATTGCCAAGCCGTTTTGCCGCGAAACTCATGTCCCGAGGGCGAGAGGCCGGTCGCCCCCACCCGTTCCGCGCAGCTCGTCGACGCGACGCTCGCGGACCGGCGTCCCTTTTTGCCACTGGGGCAGCTCAGTCTGTCTGCGCCACCAAGCAGACCCCCCGAAGCTTCCAGTGATGCGGATGATGATCACCAGATCTCAGGAAGAGTCTGAAAATCAAGTACCTGCAGGTAGTTCCCCACGACATTGCACGACCACTCTGTTCTATACATCGTTAATCATCTTTAACTATGTCAGATACGATCTTGCATGTTTCGGTTCGTACATCTTCTCCTTGTCTTGTGCAACGAGAACGCACACATTCAAGACAAGAGCAACAACTTGAAACTTTAAGCACACTTGCATTCAAACATGCACCCTCATCCCTTAATATCCCTCATCCGCCTGTCATTTCTGCGCGGGTACTTATACACGGCAGCGTTGAGTGGAGGATAGCTTTGCCCCGCATTTGCGTTGCCTTTGCTTTTCACCTCCACTGCAGTGATGTAGATCACCGGCATGTTCATCCTCGCCACGAAACTCCCAGCACGTGCCGCACGCGGAAGTTTGGCGCGCACGGGCGCTCGGTTTTTGTGGATGATACTCGGTTTGAGTGGATTGGGAAGCCTATGGCAATGGGTCAAATTCCATAGCTTAAGTGGATGAACGAAGTAGGGCTTGTGTTGCACCTAGTTGTGCCTGCGGTCACGGACCCTCTGAAGACCAGAAAGTCATTGCACCTATTTTAATGTTCACCAAGGTACCTTTTTGACCCATTGCACTTCTGGCAAGGTTCATCGATTGTCTTCCTCCCAAGTCGATGTCCCGGTTGGTTCCCCCCCAAACTTTACTAGGACCTGTTTGGTTATTATTGGATCGTTTTCGGCAAAGCACGTAGCTGGGCTGGCTGGGCTTCAGAAGCAATAAAATGTGCTATGCTGCCACAACCCCTCTGAACAGCACTTGTTTGTCTCCGTCTTCACTCTAGGAGATGCATTTCTCCTCAGGAGCTGTGGAGCTCCCTCCCATTCTTGGACACAGAAATGCCACGTCTTTGCGAAATGGTTCTTAATTTCAAAAACCACACATCTATAGTGCAAAACATGGACATGGACCCCGCAGAGCGTCCATTGGATTCACCAAAAGGACCACAAGGTCAGAAGAGAAACATGTCCAAACCATCTGGCCTACTTGGCGGCCTGCTTGGCACCGCCCTCACAAGCAGGTCTCTGACCTCTGAAAAATGGCTTGTTCTCAGAGCCCGGCCACCTCCTCCCCAACAGACCGGTCTCCGTAGAAGCCGAGACGCTGTAGCTTTTTCGCCTCAGATTCCTCCAGCCGGCCGTCCAAGCGATTCCAGCGAGCACCTTCGATGAAGAGACCGTGGATGTTCTGGCCCTCCTGGAAGAAAAGGTCGCTGAATAGACCCACCCCTATGGGGTCGGTTGGGTACTAGGGCGAGGTGATCCCTTTTTTGGTTGGGTCTATAGGTTGGGTCTATCCCATTAGCAGTGGATCATGCATGGTTCAGTTGCAGGCATTGTTCAAGAAGAGTGATTTGCTTGCTTACTGGCTGTGACTGGTACTAGGATAAACCCAACCCAAAAGGACTCCAAGTAATGACTGTTTCGGCCACCAACCAGCACCCACCCCGGTCCCAGCGAAGCGAGCCCCAAACGGGACAGAAGGTTTGATCCATGGGGAAGTGAGTGAAAAAACCCGGAGGAACACAAGGACAAAAACTGGTCAACTGCTTAGGTGAAGAAGCAACTCTCTTGAAACATAGTAACTCAGTGGGGATCAATTGCCCCAAGTAGAGGTTGAACATCAAGATGACGCCACCACCCAGGAAATCAGTGGTATCCGGAATGCCTTCAAGAGACACGGTCTTGCATGAAGGCTTATCCAACTTATCCCACATGGCACTCACTCACTACACCATTTGGATTGAAACCGAAAGCAACCTCATGATACACTATAGTGCTGACCTGTGGCTCTCCCGCGGTTGCAGGATTGGGGGGGACGACCCCAAGACTGAAACATCCTATCAAAAAGATTTGGAAAACACATAATGACTTTAAAACGTCCACATCCTCGATTGGACTCTCCAGATCCAAACCTTATGGACACTGGCCTACCAATGCAAATTAACTGAATCCATTCGTGATTTTGCTTATACTTCAACCTTTAAACCTTTCTAACTCAGCTCTTTTGCCTTCGACCCTAACCACACTGGGCCGCTGCTTTCCTTTCCAGCAGCTCCACCACCGTTCCTCTCCGCTGCGCGCAGACCGCGGACCCCAGAAAGCTCCTCGGGTGGGTGGGCGCGGTCCGCGAACTCCAAAGGGAGGACCTCCGTGTGCGTCACCACGTCCTCGACGCACCCGGACGCGCCCGGCGGAGAGCACGCGCGACCGGTGCCGGCACCGGTGAGACGGTGGGATTAGTCGGGGAAGGTGAGATGTGGTGAGAAAGGTGGGGGAGCATCTGTGGTTTCGGAGCATGGAGAATCAATTGCAAATTTCTATGAGGTTTATTATAGTGGATCACACATAGATGGCATTTGACACACGCTGGATAAGATGGCATAACAGCCACTTTTTGACATCTTTTGCAGATGGCAGTTGATTGAACGGGAGGGCTAGTGTGCCATCTTAAAAGCAACAAAAAAGACCTGACAAAACCTGAGTCAATGTCCTCAATCAAAACGATCGAAAGCGATCGATAAACGATCGAAAGCGATCGATTCGAAAGCGATCGATCGATCGATGCGAGCGCGCTGAAGCATCCTTTTTATCGCGTGCAAGACATGCACAGCTCAGCTTCCAAGGTTCAATGCGCAATACTGCTCCCAGGACCATTCGACGGCAGAATTTAAACATTCCTCCAAACTGTAGATTACACGGCACTCTGTGCATGTATGCCATCTATTTGTTTGTTGTG